AGCCGGTGAGATTTGAACAGCCGAACTGCAGAACTGCAGTCAGCTGAAGTAGCCTGCAGTGCTGCATTTAACCACTGCGCCACCTCGGCTTAATATCTTTTCCAATTCATACTTTTCTTATTTGTAACCCAATACAGTGTTGTCTCTTTTCATGTGGGATGTTCTCTCTTGGTTTCTTCTCCCAGACAGGTCACCAAAGCCGAAGGGATGTCTCTTGCCACCAAGTATGGATCCTCCTTCCATGAAGTCTCGGCGTGCCTGGATTTTGAGTCCGTGCAGCGCATTTTCCACGAGGCGGTGCGGGAAGTGAGGCGAGAGACGGACAGACCCCTGGCAGTCCGGCCCTTGTTCATCATCGAGGAGAAGCCCTCGGCCCACCTGGTCCCAACTGCCACCATCGCCTCCACCTTCAACTCCCTCTCCACTGTCAACTACAAAGAGGTCCCTTCAGTTGCCCGGGCCAAGCTGGTCACAGTCAAATCCTCAAGAGCTCAAAGCAAGAGGAAGGCCCCAGCGTTGACGTTGCTGAAGGGCTTTAAGATATTCTAAGCAGGGATGCCGCAGGGTAGACTCCAAAAGTAGAACACAGCTGTTGGAGGGTTGGGTTGAATCCCCAAGCAAGGATTGAGTCATTTCGCATATCCGTCTCTTGGCCTTTCCTGCAGTCCAAGCGTCCGTCTAAGAATGCAAAGGAGCATTTTGGGGAAAGGCCATGAACTGACAGTGTGGACAAACTATGGATGAAGCCACCAGGTGGGGAAGGTGGTTCTAACCCTTTTTCTTGGTCATAAACACGTGGAGGACTCTACCATGGGCTGCTTGAGCAATCGATGGAGGAATCCCACAGAAAGAGTTTGCTCTTAGGACTGAATAGAGATTTGGGAAGCCAGAGAGGCTTCGACCAGCCAAAGAAATGACTCTACAAGGAGAAGACATATAGAACATAGACTAACAGAATTGGGAGGGTCCTCGTCCAACCCCCTGCTCAAGCAGGAGAACCTATACCATTCCAGGCAAGTGGCTGTCCAGTCTCTTCTTCAAAGCCTCCAGTAATGGAGCACCCACAACTTCTGGAGGCAAGCCGTTCCACTGGTTAATTGTTCTCACTGTCAGGAAATTTCTCCTTAGTTCTAGGTTTCTTCTCTCCTT